ATTCTTGTTTACTCTGTTTTTATGCAGCCACGAGATGGCGTGATATTTCTACTAACAATCATGTTGTTTATGATCAACAACCATATAGATTCAGGTTAATTTACAAGTCCATATTATGTATCTGTTGATTTTTTCAGCTCACTGTTCTTACATCACATAAAATATAATATCGATATTGCAGAGGAACTATGCGCTATGCCAGCGTACATGTTCATCCTGGAAGATCTGCTAGTCGTAGGGATGATTTAGAGTCCCTTGCTTATATGCTGATTTTTTTTGTCCGACAAGGTAAGCTTCCATGGCAAGGCAACCCGCAGGATAGTAGCAGATTTGAAATGCGTTTATTTTTATTTTTGGAAACAATTGGTTTGATGCTCAAATGATGCTTTATTTAGGTTGAAAAAATAGGCTTCCGTGTGTGCAAAATGAAGAGGCAAACATCTCTGGATGCTCTTTGTGGACCATATCCTGAACCTTTTAGACAGTTCGTTGAGAACGTTTTTAGTTTGAAGTTTGATGAGGAGCCTCAATATGCAAAATATATATACCTTTAGCAAGTATTAGTAACTTCAAGTCCAGAAACCAGGCTAATCAACATCGAAGGTGCTCAGAAGGTATATATATATATATATATATATATATATATATATATATATATATATATATATATATATATATAGTGGCGAATCCAGGTTTTACGTCAAGGGTGTGCAAAATTTAATAAAAAAAATATAAACATGCAAAAAAAAAAAATGTACAAGACAATCAAAATGTACATCTCTTACATACAAATATAAAGTTTTTAGAATATCTTTCGACATGGTCCCATTTCTTGAAAAAAAATCATCACCTCATCAATACTAACGCCGTTCAATATATCTTTTTCAATGTACGACACCAAAACATCATTCAACATTTGATCCCCCATTCGATTGTGTAGCTCCGACTTAACAATCTTCATTGCAGAGAATATTCTTTCAACTGAAGAGGTTGCGACCGGCAAAATTAATGACAACTTCAATAATAAGTACACCAATGGATAAGTCACATTCTTTCTCTTAGCAACCAACTTCTCAGCAAGCCTGCTAGCTCCACTCATATTTGAAAAGTCTTGATCACATTTAACATCCCTGATATAATTTTCAAGCTAGTTCTGAAGGGCTATAAGATCATTATCATCAAACTCTTCAGGATAAAATTCAGCGAATTTCACCAAAGCCTTTTCTTTCAAATGCAGAGAACGAATTACTTGGATCAAAAAATGATATCAGACTAAGTAACTCCGTATTATTATTATTGTCAAAACGATCATTCAATTCTGAAAGTTGAAGATCGATCACTGTATAAACCACATCAACCTTATAATGATTCAAATTTGTAATTTGCGTACCTTTTCGCGATACTCTGCAAGCTCTCGAGTAAAGTACAAAATCATCATTCATATTTGGAATGAGAATGTTATTTTGAACACAAAAGGATGAAGTTTCTCGCAACAAATCGTCCCACCCACCTTCTCTCAATTCTTGAAGTCGATCTTTAGCAAAAAAAACATGTTTCATGGCATTTCCAAGGTCCTGATCCTTGCTTTGAAGTGCTTGTGACAAATCATTTGTGATCCCTAAGATCGATCTCATTAAGTGCAAGACAAAAGCAAACTCGAAACACACAATATTCCTTAAAAGCATTGGGGCTTGTTCACAATGAGAAACATCATCACTATTATTTTCTAAGTACTCTAGTACACCAACCACCGAAGGAAACAATTTAATCATACTCGTGATTGTGAAATAATACGAATTCCAACGTGTATCTCCGGGCCTTTTTAAAGTGGACTCTTGATTCAAACCACTACCACTTACAAAATTATCAAAATAAACTCTTTCCATTAACTTCTCAAATTGTTTATCCCGAAGCAAATCTTGACGTTTACAAGAACCTCCAATAACGTTAGCCAACAATGCAAGAGAACCAAAAAATTCTGAAAGTTGCTTATTTTTCTTAGTAATTTGCACAAGAGCTAACTGAAGCTGATGAGCAAAACAATGAACATAAAAAGCAGACTTGTTTCTTTCAATATTAAACTCTTCAAACCATTAAACTCTCCATTCATATTACTAGCTCCATCATAACCTTGGCCACGCACTCGCGATAAACTCAAGCCAAATGTTGTAAGAAGAGACTCAAGAGAAGCTTTCAGACGTCGTGAAGTCGTATTTGGAACATGAACAATGCCAAGAAAGCGTTCAATAATTTTTCCTTCCTTGTTTACACAACGTAAAGCAACCGCCATTAGTTCTTTAATGGACACATCACGTGCCACGTCAACTAACAAAGCAAAGAAATCATCTCCAATATCAGAAATGATAGTCTTCGAGACTAAATGAGCAAACGCACTAATGATTTGTTTTTGAATTTCAGGTGCTGTCATCATAGAATTTCCTTGTGAGTTATCCAAAAAAACTTTGTTAATTTCATCATTATCTTCCGCCATAACCTTTATAAGTTCCACAAAGTTACCTTTATATAGCGAACTCTTTGACTCGTCATGCCCCCGAAATTCAAGTCCTTGCCTTAACAAATATAAAATGGCCTTCGTTGTTGTACGCAACCGAATGTAGTAGTCGCATTTAGATTCCTTAGTTTTGCTCTCAAGAGGAACATCTATGTGACCTTTATTATTCATCAAATCTTGACTAGCCATATAGCGATGATGATTAACACTGTCATGATTTCTCTCGTGTTTTCTCAAATTTTCCTTCTTGTACAAGTTTCTATAACCTTCACTGACGAATTTGCCACCGCCCCCTTTGGCACTTTCTCCAACCTTAAATAGATAGCAACATAAACAATATACCGCGTCTTTAGTTTCACTATATTCCAACCAACTACCAAACTCATTGTACCAATCCACAATAAATTTCAGTTGTTGTCCATAGAAAGTAGTTTGAAGAAATTTACAGAGTCGGCATTGACAAGGACCTTTTTGTAAGTAAGCTCTTCGAACAATTTCAAGCTCTTTAGAAGTCTTCGCAAGATCACTAATAGGCAATCTCAATCCCGGGTCAGCTTCAATAGCACTCAAATTAACCTCTACTTGCGATTGATTGCGAATACCTTGAGCATTCTTCAGGGACGCTATCATTAATTGGCGTTTCTTCTTGGACGTTATCATTAGTCGACGTTCCAACATTGATATTATCATTTGGCGTAGATGATTCTCCTAGCCGATGACGTTTAGTTTTTATCACAAATCGATCCATATTCTACAAATAAATAGAATGGGCAAGAGTTAAAGGTAAATTTGCACCAATCAATATAAGTCTCATATAACAAAATATATAAACCAAGAATTTTTAACAGTATTAACTTGTTAATCCCCAAATATTATTAATTGATAATTGTTACTCTGACTCACATATAATAAAATACTTGATTTAATTGAATCTAATTACTCACTTAGAATATGTATTACAACAAAAACAAAATATAATAAGACACTAACAGGGAAACAATCACAGACATGGCCCACGTTTGTGGCAACCATATATTTCAACTCTCACTTGAATTTAAAGAAAATGTATTTCACAAAATTCATTAAAAATTGATTGTTGTTCTGATCGAAAAATTGGAATTCATCCCTTCATTAAATAATGTTGTCTTTTTCTTCACAATTCTCTCTCATTACGTACACACTAACAAAATATTTATATAAACACACGTGCAGTGCAGTGTAGGGCCACAAAACATTTCATGCATTTTTCTCAACTTTCCACTTAGATATTTGAGTTTTGCTATTTAAAAAAATGAAATATCTACAAAAATCCAATTAATCAAAACCCCTTTTTCCAATCCTTAAATCATAAATTGTTGAACTCATTGTTACTAACATGTTGTCGTTTAGCCATTAATTTGAGTGGATTAGATGCGGCTCGGTGGGCTGGCGGCGATTGCTTTTTTTTTTCCGGTGATGGCGGCCGGTACAATGGTGAGGGATTTTTGTGGGTAAATAAAATAATTTTTTTTTGTTCTTGTTGCTTCTGTTGCCGTGAGAAATTGGAAAATAAAGTGAAAAGGTTTGTGTTGTCTCATCGATAAAGGTGATCTTGCCCTCGTATAGGCGCGCTGCACTGCCGTCTCATCAAATCTTTCACCAAGAACTTCTTCTTCTTCTCCCCC